TTCCGGGCGACGCAGCGAGTTGAGGGTGTGCATGGGAGAACCATGCACAGCAGCCTGCAGCGGCCATCTCGAACTTTGTCACTCATTCGGCGGGGAGCCATGTGACCGGTGCAAAGGTATGCCGAGAATGGCACTGCATCCCCTGCGATATGCCATCTGGCATTGGTATAATGATGACTTGGATACCTTGTGGCATGTCGGCTACTGAGGAACTACAACTCCCAGCATGCACTCCTAGACTCTATAAATCTTCGGATTGATGCATTTTTCTAATTTTACCAATGGAATGATTTTTCCTCTTATGTATGTTCATGCAAAACTTTTTTTTTTCTTGATTTTGGATAAAGTGGGGGAGGGTAAGAAAACAAATGTTTACCTTTAGACGGGGGAAAGGGGGGTGAAGGTGATGTAGCATCAATACGTCACATGATCATCCCTCTAGCTTCTAGACGTTACAAAGTATCAATCTTAACCTGATATCATTGGACGTCCTGTGCTTATGCACTCCTGATATCAGTGCACTTCCTGTGCCTAGGCCCTCCCAGTATCTGCACTTCCTGTGCCTAGGCACTCCTGGTATTAGTGGTATTAGTGCACTTCCTGTGAATGTACACTACAGATATCGGTGCCCTTCTTGTGCCCAGGCACTCCTGATAACGGTACCCTTCCTGTGCCTAGGCACTCCTGATACCGGTGCACTTCCTGTGCCTAGGCACTCCTGATACCGGTGCACTTCCTGTGCCTAGTGCACTTCCTGTGACTGTACACTACAGATATCAGTGCCCTTCCTGTGCCTAGGCACTCCTGATATCAGTGCCCTTCCTGTGCCTAGGCACTCCTGATATTGGTGCCCTTCCTGTGCCTAGGCACTCTTGATATCAGTGCACTTCCTGTGCCTAGGAACTCCTGATATCACTGTACGTCCTGTGACTCGGCACTCCTGATATCACTGCCCTTCCTGTACCTCGGCACTCCTCATATGACTGCCCTTCCTGTGCCTCGGCACTCCTGATATCACTTCCCTTCCTGTGACTCGGCACTCCTGATATCACTGCCCTTCCTGTGCCTAGTGCACTTCTGATATCACTTCCCTTCCTGTGCCTCGGCACTCCTGATATCACTTCCCTTCCTGTGACTCGGCACTCCTGATATCACTGCCCTTCCTGTGACACGTCACTCCTGATATCACTGCACTTCCTGTGACTCGGCACTCCTGATATCACTACACTTCCTGTGACTCGGCACTCCTGATATCACTGCCCTTCCTGTGCCTAGGCACTCCTGATATCATTGCCCTTCCTGTACTTAGGCACACCTGATATCACTGTACTTCCTGTGACTCGGTCCTCTTGATATCACTGCCCTTCCTGTGCCTAGGCAATCCTCATATCAGTGCACTTCCTGTGCTTAGGTACCCCTAATATCAGTTCACTTTCTGTGCCTAGGCACTCCTGTTCTGTAGCCTCATAGCTGTATATCTGCAGTGTAAGATCATTTAATGACTGCCGGTCTCTCAAGACTTGAAGTGATATTCGGTGATGTCACTTCTGTTCTCCTCGCTGTTCTGCTTGCTGGAG